GATGATGGCACTACCCAGTAATTTATTTGTACAGCTCTTCTCATAAAGCCTGTATCACATTACTTTGAATATCTTCAGCAACTCTACTTCAGGGATTGACTCTTTTCAAATGGCCAGACATTATTCAGGGTCATGCACAGTAATGAAGACTGATCAGACACAACACCATTATTTGTGTTACCAAAGTAATCAGATTGATTTTCTTTTGCAGTTTGTAACCTGGGCTCTGAAAGAAATTCCACTAGACTGTAGGCATGAGGGTAGGGGCTGTGTGTGCTCTGCTCATTGCTTTATGCTCAGCTTGGAAAATCGTAGGTGCTTTATAAATAACGTTGAGCGAATGAGTAGGACTTCCAAGAATGTCTGGAGCAGAAGCTTCAGCACTGGAACAAGCTCATGACCTCTCAAGGTGATGGCCATTAAAGAACCCCACTGGCTTAGCGCAGAAATCCTGATATGCCTGGTTCTTTTATGCTCATGTGGAAATACACTGCCGACAAGTTGCAAGCCCAGAGAGTTAGTAACAATTAAATCAGGAATGTAAACCTTGGGATCATCTACATGTTGAAGCCATGTGTGCAGACATTGTTTCCAAGTGAACTGCTGTAGAGGCTGATGGTCAGTACCATGTGCCTTGAGTCTTTCCATTGTAAATCATTATTCCCAGAAATTTTTTAAAAAATGTTTTCAAGTACAGCTCAGTGCTTTAGATAGATTTGTTTTTTGCTTCATGTGGTAGACTCACATCTGGACATTAGTTAGATATATTTCATCTAAAAATAGCATTTATCCAATTTACTGTCACTTGAGGAGAGAAATCTTTTCTTTTTTTCTTTGAGACAGACTCCACTTCTTATTCTCTGAAGTCTTTCATGGCTCACTGCCATTTAATATGAAAAAAAAGGTATTGGGTCGTGTGTGTGTGAGAATGTGTATATGTGGACATACAATGAAATTATTATTTTATGGCCTGCGAAAATATGACCACTGCCTTCTCATCCTTGTTCTTGTTTAAAGTTGTCGCTGAACTTGGTGGTTATGTTGTTAAGCCCCAAACTCAGCAATGGTATGAATTCCATCAGACTTTCCTTAGTCATTATTTCAGATCCACAGCACATGAATTTGGGGATTCTTATCTGTTTTCTTTCAGACTATCTCCTTGTTACTCTGCCTGATTGTGTCTTCTCATCAATCTGTGGTTTGGGGTTTAGAAGGAAAGGAGGAGAGGGGCGCCTGGGTGGCTTAGTCGGTTAAGCGTCAGACTTTCGCTTAGGTCATGATCTCGCGGTTCGTGGGTTCGAGCCCCGCGTCGGGCTCTGTGCTGACTGCCAGCTCAGAGCCTGGAGCCTGTTTCAGTCTGTGACTCCCTCTCTCTCTGACCCTCCCCTGCTCACGCTGTCTCTCTCTCTCTCTCTCTCTCTCTCTCTCTCCTAGAAATAAATAAAAAAAAAAAAAAAAAAAAAAAAAGAAGGAAAGGAGGAGAGAAACGAGAAGGGAGTCAAGAATAAGAGATGAAGTGGTGGTGTTAAAGCGCCAGGCTCGTGGAACCCTTTGGGGCAGTCTGAACACATTTAGGCCAGAAACTAGAATTAAATCTGACTAAAGAAAAATTGGTATGCTGCTGCTGCTTCCCACGGCACTGACATTAAGTAAGTCAGAGTTGGCTCTGGAAGGGACTGGTTGTAAATAAGGAGGGACTTACTAGCCAATCGCAATTTCACATTTGTCAAGGTCCTTTGTAGTTCTGCAAAGATTTATCTTTGGGTACAGGACTCAAATACTTGCCCTATCTCCCTAAAGAGAACTCTGGCTTTTGCACTTTTCCTCTGAAGGCACATCTCTCTCCTCAACCCTCCACTTGCCGATGGGATCATTATTGTCACCGTTGTGATGGAGATCATTTCTTTTTTTTCTTCGTCACACCTTCCAATCAGAATTAATGGGTCCAACCTGTTATTGTTAAAATGTGTTGTCCCTATGTGTTAAAGTGGCTTCCCTGGCCCTTGGTTCAGCTTATGTCTGGCATTCCTTTCCATGCTGTGAGTGAGGGTTTGCCTGGGTCCATCCACATCCTCTACCCTTCTCATTTGTGACCTTCCATACACGTGTCTGAAATGTAAAATGGCAGAGAGATGCTAGGACTACGGCTTGACCTATGGAATCAAGCAACACTGGCTGAGCCGTATGGTCATTCAATCCAGGCCCTTGGTCTCATTGCTATCCTGTTTAAGCAAGTGTGCTAATAGCCCACATATCAATCCAGATGAGTTTAAACACATCTGCTCAGAGGATTTTCTTCCAATACATCAACACAGGGGCCTTCCAATTCCTAAGCATGTTCAGTCTGTACAAACTTTTGCAACATCAACCCTGAGACTGGACCTGTTGAGCCATTTTCATCTCACGAAGTATTTTTATAGATTTTTCTCTGGATATATCTTGGCATAAATGAAACAACAGACACTTGAAGAGGAGATTTTCATTTCAGTGCAGTTATTTGCAACCTCCATTTCTCAACTATAAAAATTGAACAGATATGTAAGTATCATGGGTGGAATGAAATTAATTTTTACCACCCACAACAGTTCATTAGTGAAATAAGGAAAGTATTTAATGGATCTGTGCTTGATGTGCCTAAAATTATTTCACCGTAACAAAAGGTCTTGAAAGACTAAGAAAAGGTCTGATGACAATTAAGTTGCCTATCTGAACAGTATTACTGTATGAAAGAAAAACAGTTTTAAAAATAGCTCATTGTAGAGCTCAAAGAGATGGAGAAATTCATAAAGGAAGCACAAAGGTGTTGCAAGTGGAATGAAAATCTTTTTAAAAATACAGGGTTCTTGTTCCTTACTTGCAGAGAGTTCCTGTTTTGCACAATCTTTCATGCTTCCATTTCATTTTTGTGGAGGTGTGACTTGCTTCAGTTGGATGCCTAAGCAAGCTCTATTTCTCCGCTCTACAAGGTAAACCAGAATGCCTGGGTGGCTTTTGAGCGTCCGACCCTTGATTTTGGCTCAGGTCATGGTTGTGTGGTTCGTGGTTTCCAGACCCACCTCAGGACTGACCGCAGGCTGACAGCAATTCCTGCTTGTAATTCTCCCTTTCCCTCTCACTGCCCCTCCCCCGCTCATGCACATGCCCGTACGCTCACTTGTGCTCAAAATAAACTTAAAAAAAACAAAAAGGCCAATCTTCATTCCTCTCAAATGTACAGTAAAGCTTTGTATTCTTCATCTTTGAGACCTACTAATTAAGAATTTGACACTTTAGGGACACCTGAGTGGTTCATTCAGCTGAGCTTCAGACTCTTGATTTTGGTTCAGGTCATGATCTCACGGTTATTTATGGTATCGAGCCCAGTGTCCGGCTTCATGCTGAGCTTGGAACCTGCTTGGGAGTCTCTCTCTCCCTCTCTTTCTCTGCCCCTCTCCTAAAAGAAAAAAAAAAAAAAAAGAATTTGACACTATGAAAAAAGGCCACCAGGACAGAGACAGGAGAGAATGTTTAACAAACTTTGCCCAGTCCTTTAAGAGTGCCCCCTTTATAACATCAGAGGGAGAGGGCACTGTAGCAGCCTCTAGTCCAGACCCTCTTCTATAGACAAAGACAGTGGCGCAGGGAGAGGGAAAGTGATTTGCTCCAAGGGCACAGAGCCAGCGGGTCCCAAAAAAGAGAATGCAGCCTGGTGCCTTCCCTCACTACAGCTCCTAGACACCCATGATCACTTGCTTACTTGGTAGAGGCTTTCAGGACTTCAGCACGAATACGTTTTTATAGCGATTCGTCTTTATTAATGCATCTAATTGAAAGAAAGAAAATCCCTTCAAAATGTCCTCTAAGGCAGACTTTGCAGAGATAACACTTGAACACTATGCCCTCTGCTCTATATCCCGAGCCCAGGGTACATTTGGTTTGAAGATAGCTTCCTACAGACACCATTGCAAGCCAAAGGGTAACCAACAGCTTTGGGTTTCTTAGGTCAAAGAATGATGACTCTCCTCAAAACGAGGAGGTTCTGGAATCCTCTTGGTCCCATGAGACCTGTTTGTATAAGTCTGCCTTTCCTCTGGTCCTCTTGACTCTGAAAGGAAAAAGCAAAGAATAAAACCCAAATCTCTTTTTTCATTATCTGGTAATGGTGTGCTAAAACAACTGTTTTACTTTTTCCAGCTGTCCAGCTGCTTGTGTTTTTATTGTCTGAACTTAAAGAAAATTAAAAAAATTCTTTAATGTTTATTCATTTTTAACGGAGACAGAGCATAAGCAGAGAGGGGCAGAGAGAAGGAGACACAGAATCAGAAGCAGGCTCCAGGCTGCAGAGCCTGACATGGGGCTCCAACTCATGGACCACAAGATCATGACCTGAGCTGAGGTCAGACGCTTAACCAACTGAGCCACCCAGGAGCCCCTAAAAAAGAAAATTTTTTAATAATAAAGAGTTGTGTTGTGAAAGGGCAAGAGAAAGGTGGCTGTGATATCTGGATTCAGTGTGGGTCCTGCTGAATCACTCTGTGCTTAACTCTGTGCTTGGCATTTGGTGTGTGAAGGGGGGGATAAAAACCAAAATAAACAAAAAGACCAGAGGATCCCCACACTCAAAGAATTTTTAGGCTGAAGGAAACAAAACAAACAACAGAAACAACTAGAAAGTATGGGTGGCTTACTGATAATACAATAACCATGTGGCTGTCACCAGGGAAATTTGTAAAGTGGACCACGTTTCATCCCTTCTTTCCTCAGGCAGCTCACCCAGATGTAAAGAAGGAATGGAACCAGGCTGAGGAAAGCAGGGCATTTACCCAGGGTGTATATTTTCAGGGGGCACCAAAAATTAAATATTAATTAATTGAAATGTTAATTAAAATATTAGTCAAGAATAATACTTAAAAAATCCAAATGACTGCAAAAAAAAAAAAAATCCATGATGAACAAGATACCAACATTTTAAGTAAAGAGAAGACCAGTACTAATGATTTTTCTTTCCTCTGTTGCTTCAGGCTCTAATGTGACTCAGCATGGCATTTGAGTTAATATCCAGAAATAAAGCAGAATGAGTGTGTGTGTGTGTGTGTGCGTGCACGCACGGGCACGCATGCATGCATGTGACAGAGACAGACTGATGAATGGCAAAGCCGGAAGCAATCTTAATCCCAAAAGTCAACTTCACAGGTGAGGAAACTGAGAAGCTTAATGATTTACCTCAAGCCAATCATACAGATCTTCAAAGATACTAAAGCCCGGGGCTCCTGACCACCAGTCCTGTGGATACTCACACAGTAGTGGCTTCCAAGGCAGGGGGAACTCACCTTCCCCAAAGGAGGCAAGCTTAATGAACTGGTCAAATTATGACATTTTAAATGTGCCACAGACATAGAGATAGGGTTTTTATTTATTTATTATTAAAAATTTTTTTAATGTTTTATTTATTTCTGAGAGAGAGAATGAGAGAGAGCGTGAGCAGGGGAGAGCCAGAGAGAGAGGGAGATACAGAATCCGACACAGGCTCCAGCCTCTGAGCTAGCTGTCAGCATAGAGCCTGACACGGGGCTCGAACCCACAAACCGTGAGATCATGACCTGAGCCGAAGTCGGAGGCTTAACCAACTGAGCCACCCAGGCATCCCTGTTTGTTTATTATTTTTAGAGAGCGAGTACAAGCTGGAGAGAGGGGGAGGGAGAGAGAGAGAGAGAGGGAGAGGGAGGAAGGGAGGGACTCTTAGCACAGAGCCTGATGCAACACTGAATCCTTTGACCCTGGGATCACGACCAGAGCCAAAATCCAGAGTCAGACTCTCAACCGACTGAGCCACCCAGGCACCCCAGAGACAGAGCTTTTAAAACAGAGGTTCAGGGGCGCCTGGGTGGCTCAGTCGGTTAATTGTCTGACTTTGGCTTAGGTCATGATCTGACAGCTTGTGTCAGGCTTTGTTCTGACAGCTCAGAGCCTGGAGTTGGCTTTGGATTCTGTGTCTACCCCTCTCTCTGAACCTCTCTTGCTCACACTGCCTCTCTCTCTTTCTCTCTCAAAAATAAGTAAACATTAAATTTTTTAGAAAATAGAGGTTCAGAGCACATGCATAGTCTGTTTAGATACTGTACCTGTAAGGATTCCTAAAAAATACGAAGCGTGGCTTGGAGATTCAGCCGCTGCCTCTTTTTGGATGCCAGTGCTTCCAGAGAGTTGAGGAATTATGGGGGAGCTGGGGGGGAGGAGTGGTGTCAGGCTTAACTGACAGACCTAATGCCCTGGCCCGGACACCTGCCTGGCTTTGGCCACTGGTGCAAATGCTTTCTTGCTTTGTACCCCTGCCTTGCTCTTTGGCTCAGCTCACCGGTGACTCTCCTGCATGGCTTTTCCTTCCATTGCAAGTGGTTTGAGCTAAGGTTTGATTTTGTGGTTTGGTTCTGATTCAGCCAGAGGGAGCCTTTTCAGTGACCCAGGCCAGTTCACTGGAGTTTGACGATAGGGTTTGGGGCCAAAGCCCTCAGTGAGTCTTGACTCTCTTGTGACCTTGCAGGGAGGAGTGGAGGTGGAGGAAAGGAAGGTTTGTGTGTTTCAGGTTCCTGGCCCCATTCCTAACAGTCTTATATTTCTCAATCTACAAATATCTATCAACACCTCATGTTGACAAGACTTAGAAATGTACGCCAGGTATGTGGTAATTGTGAAAATCTCTAGTTCTCCTTGCTCCTTCCCCATCCAACTCTAGGGGGACAAAGCCTGTCTTGCTGGGTTCCGAACACTGCAAAAGTTCTGAATAAAGCAAAGGACAGCTACAGCCTGTTTCAGATCTGTTTCAGATCTCGCTCTGTGTCTCCCACATATTTGGCTAAGCTGTAGGGCCCATGGATCCTGGGAAGCTGGTCTGAGAGGATCAGTTATAGTTAAATTGATCAACCTGTATCAGGTTCCTTGGGACTGTCCTGGTTTTAGCAGTGAACATCCCAAGTCCCAGGAAACTGGTACAACTGGCCCGCCTCACGTTAGTGACCAGCCAGTAGTCATTAGGCCACATGGTGATCTCTAGTCCTTATTGGAGGTAGAGCAATTGACTTTTTCTTAAGCATCAGAGGGAAGCCCGAGTGTGTAAAGGGGTAGATGAACTTGCTTTTCAAGTTTGGGCATAGGAACTCTGGTAAAACCTGTCCTTCAGCCTCTGATAAGAATCAGATGCTTTTGGCCAGGGTCTGTGTTGAAGGCCGCCTTGCAAAGCAGTAGAGTTTACTACTACCCGCCATGGCACTTAGGCTGCAGGCCAGACGTGTCTAGAAAATCCTGGGCATTGGATTCCTAAAACCATTAGATTCAGGGCAGAGGGAATGAAGGCCCAACATCCAGGGACAGACTGGCCAAGATGATACTTCATGTTTGGCCTTACAGTTGTCTTCACAGTCACGACACCAAACTTGCCCTCGGTGCTCAGGCTCTCTCCAAGGACAGGCTGGTGGAGACATGGAGTGAGTCAACATGACTAGATGGAGCAGCCTCTCACTTGGATTTTGAGAGGCAGTTGTGGACAGGAAGGCAGAAGAGAGAGTGAGGATTGGCAAACCCTTCAGAGCTCTCTTCTCTGGTGTGTGCGCGTGTGCACACACGCACATACTCCAGTCTGATCGGAGCATAAAGAACCCTTATGAGAGAAATCAGAAATGTGAAGTCCCGAATGAAGCCAGAAATGAGAGCCCAGTAAGTGAGTAGCAAAAGGAATCCAGTTACTCCACAGCTCAGGCAAATTTTCAGTGTTCAGGGTCTCCCTGCACTGCACTAGTTGACTCAGGGTATCTTAAAGGCCCCACTTAGCCTCCAGTGATAACCCCCATCATACTGGAATACACAAACACTGTAGAGCTTCCCGAGAGGCCACACGCTATGGAAGATCTGGCAAGATTGTTTATGGAACGAGTAGGATGAAAAGAGGGGTAGGTTTTAGATAGAGACTGGGGGGGACGTATGAGAGACTGAGGGCTGGTCAAAGGCTCCAGTCTCAGAGCTGGAGGTGCTTAAAGAGCCTGCATTGAAGCTGACAATGATCTTTATTGCCTCACAGTTACTGATATATACATCTAATTGTGTCTAATTCTCCTTCCACTCCCCCTCTCCACTTTCAAATTATAAGACATAAGATCCCTAAAGACAGGGCTATGCTTTGCTCATCTCTGTATCCATATTATTGTTTAGCACAGTGCCTTTAACATGATAGATATCCAGGGGTGCCTGGGTGGCCCAGTTGGTTGGTGCCAACTCTTGATTTTGGCTTAGATCACGGTCCCAGGGTTGTGGGATTTATTTTATTTTATTTTAATTTTTTTTAATGTTTTATTTATTTCTAGGAGAGAGAGAGAGAGAGACAGCATGAGCAGGGGAGGGTCAGAGAGAGAGGGAGTCACAGACTCTGAAACAGGCTCCAGGCTCTGAGCTGGCAGTCAGCACAGAGCCCGATGCGGGGCTTGAACCCACGAACCCCGAGATCATGACCTATGCGAAAGTTGGACACTTAACCGACCAAGCCACCCAGGCGCCCCCTCCAAGGGTCGTGGGATTGAGCTTTGCATGGGGCTCTGTGCTGTGCATGAGGCCTGCTTGCGGTTGTGTGTCTCTCTCTCACTCCCTATCACTCCCCCTCCCCCTCTCCTTCTGCCCCTCCCCCCTACTCATTTGTACTCTTTCTCTCTCTTAAAAAAAAAAAAAAACCCACAAAAATACCCTGTCATAGATATCCAGGAAACACTTCTGATAAAAATTGAAGTAGAATTTAAGCTGATTTATTAAAGTTTAGGGCATATTTTTTGGAACAAAGAATAGCCATCATATGTGCGGAAATAAACTTAGTGAAGCAAACTGAAGTCCGTTGTTACAAACATCAGAGTAGCCTGAACTACGAGTACAAATTATTTCTATCACACATGTAAGCCAAGTTATTAAAGCTTTAACTAAAGTATAAAAAGTACATGCTGGTGAGGGGGATCATGCTTGGCTGGCTCAGAAGAGGGTGTGACTTTTGATCTATGGGTCATGAGCCCCACGTTGAGTGCAGAGAGTAAATACTTAAAAAAAAATACATGGACTTTGTCCAGATCATGTGCATCATTTCCATTAATACAATTTTAACTTGGGGCACCTGGGTGGCTCAGTCAGTTAAACTTCTGACTTCAGCTCAGGTCATGATCTCATGGTTCACGAGTTCAAGCCCTGGTACTGACAACTCAGAGCCTGGAGCCTGCTTCCGATTCTGTGTCTCCCTCTCTCTCTCTCTGCTCCATCCCCCGCTCATACTCTATCTCTCTTTCAAAAATAAAAAACATTAAAAATTTTTTTAAAGTACAATTTCAACTCTTTAAAAATAGCTCATAAAATCAGAATGTAAATTAGAATGACCAGTTCCATGTAAGTCGAAACTACCAACGTGGGAAGTTTGGTGTCTGCAGGCTGCTGCTTCATTAGGGATAGCGCCTCTTCAGCACCAGTGAGCTGCTGACTGCTGGCTGTAGCATTTGTTGACCATGTTTCTTCACTGCTCAGTTTATGCAGTCTTTTTCTCTTCGGCCCCCCACCTTCTTTCCCTTTTTGCCTTCCTACCTTAAATAGACTAACTGCCTGTGTGCCCACTCCCTTCTAGGGGCATCTACCTGCCCTTTGTTCACCATCTCACTCTCTGGCAGCAACTGCTGCTTGTTCCCACTCTTCCTGAGGCCTGATCGCTCAGATTTCCTTGGCGCTCACGAGATCTTACAGCCATCGCCCTCTCACGTGAGCTTGTCTAAGTAGATTTCTGTCCTTGGACCCCAGAGCACCTCAGACCCCTTCCCCTTCCTTCCTCCACTGCAGGTAGACCTGACAGTCACCTACTGAGGAAATGCTCAGCTTCTATGGTGTCACCCAGGACATAAAAGAGATGCCACTCAGCCTGTATGCTCTGAAGCGTCAGAATATTTGGAAATGGGTAGGTAGTTGAATTTTCTTTTTATTGAAGTGCTTTAGGGTCTTGTGGACAGGGCTCTTGGGCTACATTTAAGGACCTTGTGAGATGGTCAAATGCATCTTGCCGTGCAAAAGAAGGGGGATTCGTGTTGATATTGGCACTAAGCCCTGTCTAATGTGCTACACGTAGGTGGTCAGGGATTTCCGTGTTTTTGTTGTTGTTGTTGTTGTTTTAAGAATGACAAACACTTAAAATTGGGAAATAAAGTGAACTTTATCTCTGAAAAGGATGGCTGTAGAACAGCAAAACCTTTTTCTGTCTCCAGAAGGAACTGTCGCAAGAGAATGGAAGCTTTATAGGGAATTACTGGTATTATCAAAGGCTTTTCAAAATAGACTTGAAATGAATAGTTGTGTGCTGGTTTTATTACCACTTTGTGAGTTTACATTTTGTTTTTGTATGGTATTTTTCTCCCCCCTATGAGATGGTTGCTAGGGCAGGAGTGCAAATAATCTTTATTGTGTTAAATTTGGGACTGAACACAATTATCTTATAATTTGGGTTCATAGTGCCATTCTTGACAAGTTATATTATGAGCTTTTTGAGCCCACATGCTGTACGCTGCTTCTTATTCAGTTGCCCTTCAAGTTAGGGTGTCTCTGCTCTCCCCTCCCCCATTCCTCTGCACTGGGCCAGCCTCAGGACCAGATGCTGCTGGAGGCAAACCAGATGATCTCTGGTGCAAGGCCGCTGAGCTCCAGCACTGTGTCTTCTGGAAAGACCCTTGTCCCCAGTCAGCATGTTTTTCTGAATGATTCCACGGACATAAGTCTCAAGGGTGTTGCACTTGGCTATCACTACAGGCATACTGCATTTCTCCAGAGGAAAGTCGTGAGTAAACAATTTCGTCAATGTAATCAAGTCAATCTTCCTAGGAACCTCCAGGACCGTTTCAGAGATGCTTCATATGTCCATTTCTGACTGGTTTGCAGCACTTCTTACCATAGCATATCTGGAAAGGTAGGTAACGAGCTGTAAATAAGCTCTTAAATGCACCATGGGAGTATACACTTACAGAAATCCCCCCCTTTTTTTTTTAACATTCATTTTTGAGAGACAAAGCACAAATGGGGGAAGGGCAGAGAGAGCCTGAGACACAGAATCTGAAACAGGCTCCATGCTCTGAGCTGTCAGCACAGAGCCTGACGTGGGGCTCAAACCCACAAACGCGAAATCATGACCTGAGCTGAAGTCAGATGCTTAACTGACTGAGCCACCCAGGCGCCCCCAGAAATCCTTCCTTTGAACAGTCATTTTTTCTCTGTTCCTTCTTATGGGCTTAGAGGAAGTTGGGGCTCCCCTAGCAGCAGTTCTGGAGATAAGGTTTCACGTGCAAATGGTTTATTATGGAGGTAATGCCAGGAAACACCAGCAGGGGCTGGGAAGTAATAAAGGGAAGGAAGTCAATTCAAGATAGGACATGGGAGGCACTATGGTGGGCAAGTGGTGCTCAGTCCTGCTGGGAACCTCTGGGTAGAAGGCTCACATCAGGTTTATACCACCTGGGGGTGAGGCAGCCTGGGGGTGTTCACACACTGGCTCCCAGTGTCATTGTTTGAAAGCTGCATTCAGGGAAGGGGGTGTTAATTTCCCAGCCCTTCTACCCGCTACATGGCAAGGGCTACCAGAATCCAAGAAAGATCTTGGATAGTAGGTGCTGGCAGTTAGAAGCTGAGTCCTATGTAAATGGCTGGGGGCAGGACACCAACACATCTGCTACACTTAGCTTCTCAGAGCACATGTGACGAGGTAGGGCCCTCCATTGCTCCAGAGAGTCACTAAAACAACTTCTCCTTACTAGTGTCTTCTAGGTAAATGTTCTGCAAATCAAAAAAGGTTTTCAAGGTGCCTGGATGGCTCAGTCAGTGGAGCATGGGACTCTGGATCTTGGTCTCGTGAGTTCAAGCCCCATGTTGAGTGTAGAACTTGTTTTTAGAGACTCATTATTAGGCAAATATGAAGCAATCCCTTCAAAATACCTTTGTTATGCAGAAATACTAGGAAATGTAACCAATGGCCACAACCAATAGATTAATATCAAACCGCTTCAAAATTCTCTCATCATTTTCAGTAGATGGAAGATACAGAAGCAAATAAATACACCCTTTACTCTCAGGATGATCTTTGACCCACCATCAGTGGATTTCCAGGATTAGCATATGCTTACCGCTTAGATGCTCTTCAAAAGTGCTGTCCTGTCCCTGGTACCTTGGGGACCCTGGTGTGGAGGCAAACTATAACTTGCCCAGACAGGCAGGGTCCAAAAGGAGGCATGGGACACTTTCCTTTATTTAGGGACCAGCTCCAAACACAACTGAAAAGTGTGAATAATCCACCTAATTCCTAGGACATGGTCTTGGTGACCCTGGCACTTCAAGTCCTATTGCTCTCTTTATCCCTAATGTCACTGTGGCAGGTGCCCCAGTCTCTTGTCTTAAGAGTTGAGGAGTCTAAGTTCCTCACACAGCATCAGGGAGAGACCTTGGCGATGAGAATTGAGCTCGTGGAGTCTGTATTACACATACATGCCACAAACAAGTGGACCTGAACCTCCCTTGAGGAGCATATCAATGGATTGGCATCTTGGCAAAATGGAATCTGGAACATTTCTATACCAAGCCTGCATCAGATCCATTGACCATTTCCACTTGGACTTCTAATTCTAGTCCCTAACATGTAATTTGTGAGGTTTCAGAGCTTAGAAGGACTTGAAAGATCATTTAGCCACATTTAGCCAACCTGTTTTACTAATAATTAGATGGGAATGCAGTATCCTTAAGTAATTTGCCCAGAGTCAAACAGCTAGTGAAGAGCTGGGCCTAAGAGGAAGAGGCAGTATTGTCCCTCTTTGCTGTGAGGCTATTAAGGCAAAATTTTCTCAGTGGATTCAGAAGTAAACGGTCCCACACGTTTTCTTGAATGCTCAAGACAGCTCAAAGGGCAAAGAATGAGACATGGTGTCTTCATGGCTCTTAGTAATGCAGGTGTAGAGAAATAACTATACAGTGTAGCAGAACAGTTTTTCAAATGTTTATTTTCTTAATGATTTATTTCTGAGAAAGAGACAGGCCGGGTGAGCAGGGGAGGGTCAGAGAGAGAGAGGGAGACACAGAATCAGAAGCAGGCTCCAGGCTGTGACCTGGCAGTCAGCACAGAGCCCGACACGGGGCTCGAACCCACGCACCGTGAGATCATGACCTGAGCCGAAGTCAGACACTTAATTGACTGAGCCACCCAGGGGCCCCTCAAATGTTTATTTTTATTTTAGAGAGAACAAACATGTGCGAGCTGGGGAGAGGCAGAGAGAGAAGACGACAGAGAATCCCAAGCAGGCTCCACACCGTCAGCACAGAGCCTGATACGAGGCTTGAACTCATGAACCGTGAAATCAAGAGTTAGACGCTTAACCAGCTGAGCCACTCTGGCACGCTGTAGCAGAACAGTTTTAGTATGTGAGTCTACATCATCAACTGAGGTGCTCACTTTGCACCTCGTGTTTGAAGAGGCTACTGTTACTGGCAAGGAATCCAGCCTTCCCAATCTGTGCTGGGGACACGGGACTTCAGGGTCATGGCAGAAGACAAAGGAGAGGACATCCGTGTAAGGTAAGGGAGTAAACATCCCAATCCTCAGCGTCCCTCGGCCAAGATGACTAAGTCTGAGGTCTGCTGCCTGGCAAGAAGGTGCCCAGCCACTATGCACCTGCAGCCACTTCCCAACTATATAGCCTTGGACAGGTACTTCATCTTAAAATTCAATTTCCCCATTTTTGAAATGCTGTAAATAACAGCATCTACAGGGTTGGCTGGCATGATGCCTAAGTAAGGTAACACATGTCAAAGTCTTAGCACTCAGATATTACCATCAACACTATGTGCCCCCACTGCTACCTCTGCCAGGGTCCCCTAATACTTCCCCCTCTCTTCTCTATAGTCTTCCCACCCCCACTTTCTCCCCCTGCTCTCTTGCATGTCTGCTGAAGCCCTTGGCTTCCCAGCTCTCTTTCCCTCTCTTTCCCTCTCTTTCTACTTCCCTCTCTCTGGTCTTTATTCCTTTTGACTCTTCCAATTCACTCTCCATCCTGCTTTTATAATTCACGTCCTTCATTTTAGCTCCTCTCTCCCATCACTTGCCTGTCCCCGTACCACCAGGTTGTCTTTCCCTTCGCTGCTGCTGATGTCTCGTCATTCTCTACTCCCTCTAGCTTCCCCTCTCACTGCCCCTTCTAGACACCTTTGCTCTGCCCTGTCCCATGTTCCATGGCTAACTGGGAGACCACTCTCCACCCCTGGTCTCTCCCACTCACAGTGTGAGTCCAGGAAGCATACTTGATTATTGTGGTAGCCTCTAAGCTGGCCACCAATGGTCCCCACTTCCTGGCATCTGTGCTGTCATGGAATCCTCTCCCTTTCAGTAGGTGCTGGACCTAGTAACTGGATTCTAATGAATAGGATGGGAATGATGGGATAGCACTTCTGAGCTTAGGTTAACTGGGTGGCTCAGTCGGTTGAGTGTCTGGGTTTGTTACTGTGAGCCTGTCAGTGAAGAGCCTGTTTTGGATCTTCTGTCCCCTATCTTTCTGACCCTCCCCCTCCCAAAAGACCGCTCCTTCCATCATAGGTGTCTTAGGTGTTCTTTGGCTTGGAGGAAGCCGGCAGCCATGCTGTAAACTGCTCTCAGGGAGAAGCCCACGCACCAAAGAACTGAAGTCTCCAGCCGATGAGAAGACTCTGCCAACAACCAGATGAGTTGTCTATCCACTTTGAGCCTCAAGATGACTGCACCCCCTCTACCCTCTTCTTGTAGTCTGTGAAGGATCCCCGGACTCTGAGGCATCCAGCTGAGATGCTCTGGATTCCAACCCAAGGAAACTGTAAGATAACAAACATTTGCTGTTTTTAAGAAGCAAAATTTTAGAGTAACTTGTTAGGCAGCACTATTAAAAATGCAGAGTTCTGCTTCACAGATCACCCTTCAGCAATGTTTCTCTTCTGTGACCTTGAGCAAACCACTGCTATTCTCTGGGTCTATGAGATGGGGTTAGAGTCCAGTGCCCCAAGTCCCTCATCCAGGAGGTAGTGGTCAATGATGTTTACGAGGTCTATCTGTTCTACTGTTCAGCTTAGGAAGAAGCCCCGGTTAAACCTGCACATCTTTGTATATTAAGATCCACATCTTTATATTTGCCTCACATTTTTCACTCCTATCATCTGAAGTCTGTTTCTAATTTCTGACAGAATTGCAGTGACCTATTGTATGCTGCACTCTGCATGACATGCCAATTTCATTTTGGAGTCACGGCTATTGTCTTTTCCCGTTAATCTCTCTTGTTTTGCAAAATTCCAATAGAAAGTGTGAACATAGAGAGTTGCCCTTGTGCCTGATCTTGGCGCTGTGTGGCCCCCAAACGGGTGGATGATAGACAGACAGACAGCCTGTCTGCCACCCGAGGCATCTTTTCTTGCTTAAAAATTTGCTTTCCAGATTGCAGACTCCCTTCCAGCTCGAGCGAAGACTGGAACGTATTAAATAAAAGCAGGCCTCAAATTGGATGGAATGTCTCAGCCACTTAGATTCAGACCTCTCTTTCAGAGGAACACGTGGGGAAGGAGCAGGGGATCGGACATGCCTACGTGGGTAACGTAGGGGAAGGCGGCTTCCATACTTTTCTCATACCGTTCAAGCCTTAAGCAGGGGCAACATTTTTTTCTTAAGCAGGGCCTGTAACCCAGGATCCATCACTTATGTATGGTGTCCATGGCAACCAGGCAATGGTATGGGATCCCTTCTCACTGGGGAATTCCTTTTATGGCTCATTTCCGAAACCAGCATGGCCAGTACAGGAGTCTGCAGTTTCCCAGTTGCTTAGCAACCAGCTCCAATGCTCTAGTCACTAGGAAAAGCAGAGTTTTTTTTTTTTCTTTAAAGCGTTTGTCGTCAGAATCATATGTTACATTCTCTCTACTTTGTCTCTTTAGAATAAAATAATTAGTGTGTGATAAGGATGCGGGAAAGGGCAACCGCTCCCCGTTGTTAATGCCTCCACTGCTCCTGGCTTGCTGTTGCAGGCAGGGAGAGGGAGGAAAATGTTAGCATGCTTTCAGCTGGTAATTAAGCAGCGCGAGCCATCTGCACATTGAAAGCTCTACATTTTTCACGTCTCGTGGGGGCATCAAGTAAGTACAGGGCCAGCAATCTGTGCTGCGTTCCCTCCCCCAAACCAGAAAAGCCCAACCCCACCCACAGGTGTCACTGGGTCCTCTCTCCTTGGCTTTCACTGGGAGGAGGGCAAGGTGGGGGAGTGAGGTTTGTTGGGTTTTTGGTGGAAAGGTTAAGGGTACCCTATAGCTCCCTTGGATGCAACTACTACTCTGAAGTAGTGGTTTTCAACCAGGGATGATCCCAGGCAGCATTTGGTAAGGTCTGCAGACATTTTTGCTTGTCACAACTGGTGACAGGGGGGGGGGGGGGGGGGGGAGTGGAACAGGGCCGAGGTAAAGGAGGCCTCCCTCCAGTTCCTTCCAAGGTAAATCCTTCTTGTTCAAATGCACTCCGTTCACTTCTGGACCGCGTGCCAGCCACGCGGCTTCTTTTAGCTCTTTGCTCCAACTTGAAAAATGTTTTCAACTTAACTATCGGNGGGGGGGGGGGGGGGGGGGGGGGGGGGGGGGTTACTGATAGCTAGTGGAGGATACTGCTGTCTGGTGGCCTAGAGACCAGAGATGTTGCTAAACTTCCTACAATGCAATGGCCATCCCCCAACAACAAACAAGTATCCTGCCCACATATCAATATGCTGAGGTTGAGAAACCCTGAGTTAGAGCAATCAGAATATCCATCTGTCTTGTGAAAAACCAGCACTACAGCTGACTAGGAAAAATGTTGACAAGGTAAAGGGTAGGACTGATCACAATCTGTTGGACACAATTCCAACTTGTCTTTCTGTATGGCACAGAACTCCATCCCTACCCGCAGTGGACTTCGCAAAGGTGCAGAGCAGAGAGCCCTCTGAGGTGATAAGGAAATAGCACAAGATGGAATGGTTTCTGCTTCCAGGGAGGCAAGCTTCGGTGCTAGACAGATGTGGTTTCACCTACTGGGTCTACAGCCTATGTACCAGGGCTCTTAGACATGTGATATAATCCCAGGCTCTTCAACTCCAAAATGGAAATCCACATGGGGTACTGTGAGGATTACATGTTAAAACATTCAAAATGCCTGGTCTCCTGTTAGGCTCTTCCATTCACCATCTTGTCTCAGCCCCAGGACCCTAATGTCCCCCTCTCCCCAGCTGGGCACTTTGAACTGTGGAGGTCTATGAACAAATGTGCAAGTCCTATGATGGCTGAGGTCATTTTTTCAGCAATGAGCAAAGGACAAAACTACCAGTTTTGGAATTTGAGGTGGGAAAGTCTTAGATTAAATTTAAGCATGAAGACCAGAAAAGTAATGTGTGAGAGGAGAGGCAGTAGTGCCATTAAGAGTATGTCTGGGCCTCAAGTCTCAGCTCCTCCAGTTACTGGGTGTGTGACCTTGAATAGTTACTCACCTTGAGTGGGTTCTCACCTATGAAATGGGGTAATTATTATCTCCTGCAGTATTATTAGGATTAAAGATAATGTATATAAAAGTGCTGCCATGATGCCTAATATTAGGTAGGCACCTGATAAAGAGGACAGCACTTTAAATGTGTGGTCCAACCCAGGATCTGGGCTGTATTTAGGAAGACACACTTGGCTTCCCTATTATATACAACAATCATATTTTCCTCAATAACCCAGGATAGTTCCAGCGGCCACAATGTTATGTAAGCAGCTTTGAAGCTATTTCTATTTTCAGCCCATGCCACCTCTTGGGGGGTAAGGAGTTCCATACATTTAGTAACCTTTTTTTACTTCCTTGACCCTATCTCAGAATACATCTCATTCTAATAAGTGGGTTTATGGTCTGTGTTCACATTATCCGTGCCTTTCAGAATTTTCTAGACTGGAGTATATCCCCCGTCAGCCTCCGCTTGGCTTCCAACTGACGCCCCCTGACTTAAAATGCCTTGTGAACTCCATTATTCCCTTCTTGAAATGCATCAACTAGAACTGCACATTCTTTACAAAGATAACATCGGTTATGAAAAATGATGAACAAAAATAGTTTCCAAAAATTGGTAGGCCTCTTGGGGCCACAGTCTTTGTGGCACACTCTTACAATGAATCCCAAATCCTTTTCTGGGGTCATAACAGTTGGTTCATAATGGCAGCATCTCATCTTCCAGAGTTTTACTTGCCTCGCCAGTCATGCTCTTATTCCCAAAGTTTGGGCCACTCACCCAGCCTGGCTTAATCTCACCAGTTGGCTCTTGTTGAATACCTAATAGGACACTGTGGATCTCTAAACACTTAGAGATTTCACACAGCCCTCTAGGTTGTGGGAGCCCACCTAATCTTGTCCAATCAACAGAAGCTTCTTTGGAGTGCAGCCCTAAACACGTCACTGCTAAGATTTTCCCCCTCTACCTGAGATAATTAAATGATGTTAAATTTAGAGGTTTCTTGTTCATCCCTCCCAAGCAAAATTATGGAATCTCACCTGGAAGCCACCATAGCTGGGAGAAGTAGCAGAAGGCTGTTTCCTGGGCATGCATGAGCCCAGCCCCCCCAGAACATAGCACACAGGTATCTCGTCTCTGACCAGGCAGCTGGAGCCACAGGTACCCCAGCATAGTGAGCAGCTGGAGATGGGACGTCTTGAGGTTTACCAGAAGGACCAGAAGCACTCAAAGTATGTAGAGGTCAGGGCAGCAGTAAAGAAAGAGTACAGGCAGGCAGGGGGAAGGGTCAAGGGGCATCAGGCAGCACATCTGGGATCCAGGATGACAGGAGATTCAAAACACAGAACCATTAGAGCCCTGAAACAAGGCAAAATTTTATCAGGGAAGGAACAGAGCTCCAGGAATGAGAGTAACTCGGTCTGGCTGAAAGGAGGGCAAAGGGTCAGCGGCTGAACCAGATCTTTGAAAAGGTAAAGCAGCAGGAGATTTGGGGAGGGAGGGGATTGGTGCTGCTTTGGGGGCAAATAATTGTCTTCCTATTCGTGCAATGATAATATAGGTTTCTAGATCAGTCAGTTGGTCAATTGGCAGGTAACAGTGAATATTATGTTCATAGAGTTCCTGCAGATGCTAATCTCATGCGGTGCTCCAAGAAAGACAAGTCTATGATCACTAAGTTTGGGATTTTTGCAAACTACATGTCTGTCTTGGAAATTCACAGTGCACATTAGCCTTTTAAAAGCTCTAAAAACTCCTGCATGGGAATTTGTTTGTTTTAATTCAATGCTTCTCTCACACACGGTTCACAGCAAGAGCCTTTTGTTACGTAAAAAGTATGAATATCCTGTGGACACACCTTGAGAGACATTGTTCTAGAGCATTCCTAATCTGGTGTTCCCAGGCCCTTTACAACCTGGGCCTGCCCTTGTTTCCCAACTTGACCTTCCTTTATTTTCCTACATTCCAGCCCCATTGAACTCTTCCTACGTACAGGCCACTGTTTCACATTTCCTTCTTCATTATGGCAGGTGATTCATCATCTGCCCAAAAATGGGAAAAAAAAAAAAAAGCTGAGCCTTCCTCATTTTACCTCTGGTCCCCATTTCTATGTATTAAGGCCTACCTCAGAAGGGACACTTGATCCATGTCTGGCCCAGCCTTCCTGTTACGATAAACAATCCATTCTCTCCTCTGATGCCTTATGTCACACTATCTATTACTTTTAGAGCACTTAGCACTTTTTATGTATGGCCATTTATGCTTTTCTTTTTAGAACACAGAATCCATATCTGATTCTTTTTCATCTCTCCACCTCAGAATACAGCACATTTGTAGAATTATTAGGGAGTGCAATTGAAATACATTTCTCCACAGGCCAGAAATGGCGAAAATCTGGCCCATCTGCTGCCAACCTACACTCACCTATGGCAAAATGACCCATCAATCACCATGTGATTTCCCCTGGGGCCCAGAGAGTCTCCCAGAATGCTTCTCAACAGTCATAATCACTGGGTTATGGCTGGTGCAATGGATAAAATCTAATTGCCATCCCTGATTTGGACTTTTCCATGAAGTGAAAAGAGAATTTAGCAAGCCGAATACAGGAGCCATTTAATACTTCAGATCAGGAACTGTCCATAACAGAAAAGAGCAATTAGCAAAACTATTCATTATACTTTCATGTTCATGTCTAGTCTCACGGCTAATTATTTGTATAATTAACATGTTACCAAATGCAAATAATTGATGAGCCTGATTTCTTAGAATGAAACATGAGTCTTGAAGTATAAATAGCTGTGAATTATCAACAGCTTTCCTTTAGTTTCTAACAGGGCAATGCCTGTAAATTAAAAAAACAATGTAAATGTAATTCTCATTTATGTTAAAAAAAAAAAAACTGACAAAGCCTGTCTTTTTCTATGCATTTAAACATATTGTATATTGTCTTTAAGTCTCTACCACTTTCCAGCTGGGTGACCCAGGCAAGTTACTTAATCTCCAATTTCT